TGATCAACAGCATGAGCATCGATCTACGCAATTCGGACTCGATGACAAGTGTCAACCAAGTCAGCGAGCCTGACCACCCGATCCCTAAAGACGTTAAGGGAAAGATAGCTGTGGAGATTATGTGGATGACGACACCGGTTTTAAGCATGCCCTGTCCTACCATTCACAAAATGTGAAGTATGTTTTGCGTGACGCCGTACAACTGTACTCGTCATACGACGGCGGCCTGTAAACACACCAGACAATCAAGTGACAGTTGGACCGGAAAAACCGGTTGAAAATGTTTGAATTACGACTGCTAAGTGAAGGTTCGTAAATTCCGATGCTTTCAAGCAAATAAAAAAAAAAAAGAACCGAAACAGGTTTTCACCTAAAGACCTCGATTAAAAAACCCTTCCCTACCTTATATACCCATTCTCTCCCTTAAATACCCCCTTCCCTACCTTAAATACCCATTCCCGAACTTAAATACACCATCCCTAACTTAAATATCCCTTCCCTACCTTAAATACCCCTTCCCTACCTTAAATACCCTTTCCCTTCCCTAACTTAAATATCCCTTCCCTAACTTAAATAGCCCTTCCCTAACTTAAATATCCATTCCCTAATTTATATACCCCTTCCCTACCTTAAATATCCCTTCCCTACCTTAACTATCCCTTCCCTACCTTAAATATCCCTTCCCTACCTTAAATATACCTTTCCTACCTTTCCTACCTTAAATACCCCTTCCCTACCTTACATATCCCTTTCCTACCTTAAATATCCCTTCCCTACCTTAAATACCCCTTCCCTAAATACCCATTCCCAACCTTAAATACCCCTTCCCTACCTTAAATATCCCTTCCCTACCTTAAATAGCCCTTCCCTACCTCAATATCCCTTCCCCACCCTTAATATCCCTTCCCTACCTTAAATACCCCTTCCCTCGCTTAAATACCTCTTCCCTCGCTTAAACACCCCTTCCCTACCTTAAACACCCCATTCCTACCTTAAATACCCCTTCTCTTCCATAAATATCCCTTCCCTACCTTAAATAGCCCTTCCCTCGCTTAAACACCCATTCCCTACATTAAATACCCCATTCCTACCTTAAATACCCCATTCCTACCTTAAATATTCCTTCTCTGCCTTAAATACACCTTACACTGTATCTACCTTAAATACCCCTTCCTCTCTTGAAGGGGCGGTGGGGTAGCCTAGTGGTTAAGGCGTTCGCTCGTCACGCCGAAGACCCGGGTTCGATTCCCCACATGGGTACAATGTGTTAAGCCCATTTCTGGTGTCCCCCGCCGTGATATTGCTGGAATATTGCTAAAAGCGGCGCAAAACCAAACTCACTCACTCCTCCCTCATCTCTTGAATACCCCATCCATCGCTTAAATACCAGTTCCCCTTCAGAAAACAGCGTCACCTTGGTAAGACAGTCTCCCGGTCATGACCCTGAGAGTTTCTGTAACCTTTTCGTGACAGCCTTGTGTGACTGATGGACGTACAGGGGGTGAGTTACCTTCCCAATTTAAGGGATAAGGGACAGCACGAAGGTTACGCTCTGTTGTAGTATCAACTTTACTGCATTGAATGGAAGTTCGTAAACAGTACGTTTGTAGTTTTAGAGATATGTCAAGCAGACTGAAATAACAAACAGAAAAAAATGCCATTACTTCTACAAATGTAACCTGTAGTACTTTCCCATTGTCTACAGTTATGAGTTTCTCGCAGTCCAACAATTAACGATATGTGTTTGACAATGCTGAATCTGCATCGAATGCATATTTAAGTCAAGCATAAGAGCACCAAACATTATTAGACGATTATGCTATTCGAATTCTTAACATATCTGTCACGTTGATATAATGACAAAAGGTTACGTAGCAAGTGGAGTGTGATGATGATGATGATGATGATGATGATAATGATAATGGTGATGATGATGATGATGATGACGATCGTAATGATGTTGATGATGATGATGATGATGATGACGAAGATGATGATGATTTTGATGATAATGATGATGATCATGGTGGTGATGATAATGGTGAAGATGATGATGATGACGGCGACGACGACGACGACGACGACGATGATGATGATACTGATGATGACGACGACGACGACGAAAACGACGATGAATTTGATAGAATCAATGATGATGACGATCATGACGACGATGACGACCATGACGACGACGACGACTTAATGGAGGACTCTATATCGCACTCAAGGATAGCCTATGTGACCAGTCATGTTATACAGCGAGTTCGCCCGACTGCGGAGTGCGGCATGTTACAAAAGGCAATGTAAAGGCAGTCACGACAATGCAACGTAAAGGCAGTTGCAACTGTTCATTTGCAGTTGAAGTCGTTAACCTCGTTGTGTGAACTGGAGCTTTCTTCGAGATTTGAAGCGTTAACTGGGAACCTATCCTGTAAAGATGTTTAACTCAAAGCCATGTCTGATGCTCTCCCCTGACTAGACTTTTTTCACAAGTCTCAAAGTCATAGCAGAAAAAGGTACTGTCTGACTAATCCCGGAATTTTTATTGCAAAATTTCAATAACGAAAAAAACAGTCCACCAATTATCTACAGAAAAGAATCTTTTGGGCGTGACGCTAAATAGCAGAGAAAAAGATAAATCGGCTTATGCACGTTGTTCGTCGTTTTTCAAGTTATAATTATTACACCGAGATATAAGTTATGCTCCAACTCGGTAAAGTACGATGCATGAAGGTTAACGGCCCGACTCAAAATATGGGAAGCAGAACAAACTGGGGACTTGCTTTGGGATACTCGTAGGTTCAGTGTTACGGGTATCACAGTGTGGTCTTACATGTTTTAGGTTTGATAACACAAACATCCAAATCGCTGACAAGGTCAAAGACCTTGGTGTGATTATCGACTCAGATGTGTCACTGGATGATCACGTTTCCCATCTAGTCCAGAGCTGCTTTGCTCAGTTGTGTACTATTGGACATATCCGACCATATCTCACCACCGAATCTGCCACCACTCTTGTCCTGTCTCTAGTTATGAGCAGGATTGATTACTGTAACTCTCTTCTCGCTGGTGCCACTAAGACACAGATAAGGAAACTTCAGCGTGTGCAAAACGCTGCTGCACGTATAGTGACCAAGTCACGTAAATCTGATGACGCTCTGAAACTCCTACATTGTTTACACTGGCTGCCCATTCACTATAGGATTCAATTCAAGCTTATGTGCCTCACTTTCCGCTGTCTGTCTGGATCTGCCCCTTCGTATCTGGCCCAGTCCCTCACACAGCACCGCCCATGTCGCTCTCTCCGTTCACAGGAGACGTTTCCTCGTTATCCCCACTGTGAGGACTTCTACGTATGGTGAAAGGTCCTTTTCGTATGCAGCCTCTACAGCCTGGAATCAACTACCTCAATATCTTCGTGACTGTACAGAACTTTCTAATTTTAAATCTTTACTAAAGACTCACTTTTTCAGATTAGCTTATGAGTGTAAACGATAATTCATTGCATTGTTTCCACGTATCTCTCTAATCTTTTATTCTCTCCTATAGTCTGTTTGTATGTACATCTATGTCTTGCGCTTTGAGCATGTTGTACATGGAAAACAGAGCATTACAAGCAAGCTATTATTATTATTATCTTGCTGTCCGGGGTCTTGTAGGGGATACGGGTATAGATGAGGGTTACGGGTGAGTTGGAGTCCGGGCACTTGTAGAGGATATGTTATGGATGAGTGTTACGGGTGTCTTGCTGTTCAGGGACTTGTAGAGGATATGGGTATAGATGAGTGTTACGGGTGTGTTGCAGTCCGGGCACTTGTAGAGGATATGTTATGGATAAATGTTACGGCTGTCTTGCTGTTCAGGGACTTGTAGAGGATATGTTATGGATGAGTGTTACGGGTGTCTTGCTGTTCAGGGACTTGTAGAGGATATGTTATGGATGGGTGTTACGGGTGTCTTGCTTTTAGGGGACTTGTAGAGGATATGTTATGGATGGATGTTACGGGTGTCTTCCTTTTAGGGGACTTGTTGAGGATATGTGTGTGGATGAGTGTTGCGGGTGTGTTACTGTTCGGGCACTTGTAGGGGATATGGGTGTGGATGAGTGTTGCGGATGTGTTGATGTCCGGGCACTTCTAGAGGATATGGGTATGGATGAGTGTTACGGGTGTCTTGCTGTTCAGGGACTTGTAGAGCATATGTTATGGATGGGTGTTACGGGTGTGTTGCTTTTAGGGGACTTGTAGACGATATGTTATGGATGGGCGTTACGGGTGTGTTGCTGTTTGGGGACTTGTAGAGGATATGTTATGGTAGGGCGTTACGGGTGTGTTGCTTTTAGGGGACTTGTAGAGGATATGTTATGGTAGGGCGTTACGGGTGTGTTGCTGTTCAGGAACTTGTAGAGGATATGTTATGGATGAGTGTTACGGGTGTGTTGCTGTTCGGGGGCTTGTAGAGGATATGTTATGGATGGGCGTTACGGGTGTGTTGCTGTTCGGGGACTTGTAGAGGATATGTTATGGATGGGCGTTACGGGTGTGTTGCTGTTTGGGGACTTGTAGAGGATATGTTAAGGATGGATGTTACGGGTGTGTTGCTGTTCGGGGACTTGTTGAGGATATGTTATGGATGGGCGTTACGGGTGTGTTGCTGTTCGGGGACTTGTAGAGGATATGTTAAGGATGGATGTTACGGGTGTGTTGCTTTTCAGGGACTTGTTGAGGATATGTTATGGATGAGTGTTACGGATGTGTTGCTGTTCAGGGACTTGTAGGGGATATGTTATGGATGAGTGTTACGGGTGTCTTGCTGTTCAGGGACTTGTAGAGCATATGTTATGGATGGGTGTTACGGGTGTGTTGCTGTTCGGGGACTTGTAGACGATATGTTATGGATGGGCGTTACGGGTGTCTTGCTGTTCGGGGACTTGTTGAGGATATGTTATGGATGGATGTTACGGGTGTGTTGCTGTCCGCTCACTTGTAGGTGCTATTGGTATGGATGAGTGTAACGGGTGTCTTGCTGTTCAGGGACTTGTAGGGGATATGGGTATGGATGAGTGTTACGGGTGTGTTTATGTTCGGGCACTTGTAGGGGATATGGGTATGGATGAGTGTTACGTGTGTGTTGATGTTCGGGCACTTGAAGGGGATATGGGTATGGATGAGTGTTGTGGGTGTGTTGATGTCCGGGCACTTGTAGAGGATATGGGTATGGATGAGTGTTACGGGTGTTTTGCTGTTCGGGCACTTGTAGGGTATTTGGGTATGGATGAGTGTTACGGGTGTCTTGTTGTTCAGGGACTTGTAGGGGATATGGGTATGGGTGAGTGTTACGGGTGTGTTGCTGTTCAGGCACTTGTAGAGGATATGGGTATGGATGAGTGTTACGGGTGTCTTGCTGTTCAGGGACTTGTAGAGGATATGGTTATTTGTGAGTGTTACGTGTGTCTTGCTGTTCAGGGACTTGTAGAGGATATGGGTATGGGTGAGTGTTACGGGTGTCTTGCTGTTCAGGGACTTGTAGAGGATATGGGTATGGAAGAGTGTTACGGGTGTCTTGCTGACCCGGCACTTGTAGGGGACATGGGTGTGGATGAGTGTTACGGGTGTCTTTCTGTTCAGGGACTTGTAGAGGATATGGGTATGGAAGAGTGTTACGGGTGTCTTGCTGTCCGGGCACTTGTAGGGGATATGGGTATGGATGAGTGTTACGGGTGTGTTGCTGTTCGGGAACTTGTAGAGGATATGGTTATTGATGAGTGTTGCGGGTGTTTTGCTGTTTGGGGACTTGAAGAAGAAATGTTATGGGTGAGTGTTACGGGTGTGTTGCTGTTCGGGCACTTGTAGAGGATATGGGTATGGATGAGTGTTACGGGTGTGTTTATGTTCGGACACTTGTAGAGGATATGGGTATGGATGAGTGTTACGGGTGTGTTTATGTTCGGACACTTGTAGAGGATATGGATGAGTGTTACGGGTGTGTTTATGTTCGGACACTTGTAGAGGATATGGGTATGGATGAGTGTTACGGGTGTGAAGACCCCGAGATTCATCATAAGCTCAGTAGCACATTTAAATATGCTGAGTTAGTTTCAAAACACATGTTTGTTCCGAGACACTAAAACGGACCATAAATGTAGCGTTAAACAAACCTGTTTCACAAACGGCACAGTGTCTCTGTACTTCCACACAGTAGTCGTGGCAGGAGTGAGTGAGTGAGTGAGTGAGTGATACGCCGCTTTTAGCAATATCCCAGCAATATCACGGCGGGGGACACCAGAAATGGGCTTTATACATTGTACCGTTGTGGGGAACTGTACCCGGGTTTTCGGCCTGACGAGCCAACGCTTCAACCACTAGGCTACCCCATCGCCTCCACGGCTGGGGTATAGTTGTGTGGCGATAGGAACTACTTCCATATTTAGGCAAATTCTGTGAATGGGAGATGCGACCAGTAAGACAGGACATGCTCACCCTATTCGCGAACACCTGGTGTCTTCGCTTATTTTCAGTGATCCATCCATATAATTTTCACAGCTATTTATCCATTCATTCCAAATGGTATTAATGTCTGAGGATATTAAAAACTTGGTATTGTATCATAGATATTTCCTTTCAGACCAACCCGTGAAGATCCGGGTTAGAATTGATCTTCAGCAACCCATGCTAGGCGACTAACGGGATTGGTTGACACATTCCATCGTATCCCAACGGCGTACATCAGTGCTGTTGATCACTGGATTGGCTGGTTCAGACTCGATTATTTACAGACCGTCGCCATATAGCTGGACTATTTGGGGCGGTGGGGTGATATTCGTCACGCCGAAGACCCGGGTTCAATTCCCAACATGGGTACAATGTGTGGAGCCCATTTCTGGTGTCCCGCTGTGATATTGCTGGAATACTGCTGAGTTAGACGTAAAACTAAATTCACTCAATCCTTTCAGACCAGACTTTCTGTAATCGGTCTGTTGTTCACTTTCGCGTCATTATAATCATGATAAACAACGTTGACAGTGTACGACAGACCGTTCATATGCCCGTTTGAATGACGTTCATAAGCGTAAGGTGCGGTGTGGTAGTCTAGTGGTTAAAGCGTTCGCTCGTCACGCCGAAGGCCCGGGTTCGTTTCCCCAGATGGGTACAATGCGTGTAGCCCATTTCTGGTGTTCCGCGCCGTGATATTGCTGAAATATTGCTAACAGCGGCGTAAAACTAAATTCACTCACTCACTCAGGCAGGGGAAGGTGATCTTTTCAGTGAGTTCTCGTACGGTCATAACAATCATCACATCCCTATGGCTGCTGACTAGTCAGGTAGATCGTATATCACTTTTATACAAGTTGACGAGCCAACGCTTTAACCACTAGGCTTTAACCACTAAAGACTCCTGCCTGCATTGTGTCTCTTCAGACATCGTAGATCGTAGATGATCCTATCAGACTATGAACTTTCACTTACCAAGCTGTATTGTAACTTAATTATGACTGTACACCACTAGCTTTCGCGACCACCGGCGGATAAAGACAATTTAACGTGAATATATTGTTTTTATTTATGCGATACAACTAGACTGCAATATGTATATAAGCCATGTGGGGATGTCCCTTAACATTGCTTGAATATTGCTGAAATATTGCTGAAAGTGGCCTTAAACCAACTTTACCCAGCCGCTCACTACAACTGCAAAAAGGGCTAATACAAAATTAATTATAACGCCAAAAATATGTTTGAACGCCGGGGGTACTTACAGCTTAATTGGGGCGGTGGGGTAGCCTAGTGGTTAAAGCGTTGGCTCGTCACGCCGAAGACCCGGGTTCGATTCCCCACATGGGCACAATGTGTGAAGCCCATTTCTGGTGTCCCCCGCCGTGATATTGCTGGAATATTGCTAAAAGCGGCGTAAAACCAAACTCAGTCAGTCGTACAGCTTAATTGGTGACAACAGGTTCGTGTGATTCTATAGGACTGCCATGTTAGTTAGGATAGGAATGATGAGAGAACCTTGGTGAAACACCCTCACAAGAAAATGACAGAGGCTTCGATCATGTAAAACCAGCGTTTAGAAAGGAACGGTCTCCGAAAGTAATCTCCCTTGTTGATAGTATCTTCAAGAGGTACTGGTCGTGGGATCTCACTGCTTTGTAGGCTGACACACAGGGATTAGTTCCATGGAGTGAGTGAGTATGGTTTTACGCCACTTTTAGCAATATTCCAGCAATATCACGACGGGGGACACCAGAAATGGGCTTCACACATTATACCCATGTGGGGAATTGAACCCGGGTTTTCAGCGTGACGAGCGAACGCTTTACCCTCAAGGCTACCCCCACCGCCCTGAGCTGGAGGTAGAGGTATGGAAGCGTGGTAACTCAGACAGAATGACATATGTGTTCCTGTCTGAGATATTTAGCGAGTGTTGATCACGTAGTATTTGTGAAACACGAGCACATTATCGGAGTCTTGTCCAGTAGCAGCGTCCAGAGCACGCGGTCAATTATGGATCAAAATCATTTATAAAGCCAATCAATATATTGCAGGAATCAAGCTGTTGTTGAACTAGTTATTGTATTTTAAACTAGTTGTGGCATAAGTAGTATCAGTTTGGGAAGAAATAGTTCATGGTATGTAATATTTGTTGTGGCATAAGTAGTGAATGAGTGAGTGAATTTAGTTTACTCCGTTTTTAACAATATTCCAACAAAATCACGTCGGGAGACACCAGAAATGGGCTTCACACATTGTACCCATGTGGGGAATCGAACCCGGGTTTTCAGCGTGACGAGCGAACGCTTTAACCACTAGGCTACCCCACCGCCCAGGCATGAGTGGTATCAGTTTTGGGAAGTAATAGTTTATGGTATTTAATATTAGCTGTGGTATTAGTAGAATTAGTTTCGGAAGTAATAGTTTATGGTAACGGTGGTAATAGTTGTAGTAGTAGTCGATGCTGCTACCGTTATCGTTTTGTTGCTCTTAGTAGTAGTAGAGTAGTAGTAGAAGTAGTAGCAGTAATAGTAGTAGTAGCGGTGGCAGTAGTAGTAGTAGTAGTAGCATTAGTAGTGGTAGCAGTAGTAGTAGTAGTAGTAGTAGTGGTAGTAGTCGTAGCAGTAGTAGTAGTGGTAGTAGTAGTAGTGGTGGTAGTAGCAGTAGTAGTGGTAGCAGTAGTGGTAGTAGTAGTAGTAGTGGTGGTAGTAATAGTGGTAGTAGTCGTAGCAGTAGTAGTAGTGGTAGTAGTAGTAGTGGTGGTAGTAGCAGTAGTAGTGGTAGCAGTAGTGGTAGTAGTAGTAGTAGTGGTGGTAGTAGTAGTAGTAGTGGTAGTAGTAGTAATGGTAGTAGTAGTAGAAGTGGTAGCAGTAGTGGTAGTAGTAGTAGTGGTAGTAGTAGTAATGGTTGTAGCAGTAGTAGTGGTAGCAGTAGTGATAGTAGTAGTAGTAGTAGTAGTGGTGGTAGTAGTAGCAGTAGTGGTAGTAGTAGTAATGGTAGAAGTAGTAGTGGTGGTAGTAGTAGTAGTAGTAGCAGTAGTAGTGGTAGCAGAGTAGTAGTGGTAGTAGTAGTAGTAGTAGTGGTAGTAGTAGTAGTAGTGGTAGTGGTAGTAGTAGTAGTAGTAGTAGTAGTAGTGGTAGTAGTAGTAGTGGTAGTAGTAGTAGTAGTAGTAGTAGTAGTAGTAGTAGTAGTAGTAGGAGGAGAAGGAGCGGCAGCTTTGAATGTAGTAGCAGTTTCAGTTTGATTGTATTAATAGACGAAGAAGAAGATGTACATAGGGAGACCGCACCACAATCACTTCTACTGCAATAACTACGACTGCATCCACAACTACCACTACTGCGACCATAACTGCTACTATTGCAACCACAACTACATATATTTCTACTGCAACTGTTTGGTCGCTCCAAGCACGCATTATGCGTGAAGAAATGCGCATGATTAATTATTACCATTATCATTATATATTATTATTATTATTAACGTTACCACTCTGACCAACTGGTAACTTTGGCAAAGATCCACGCTGCTGATATTGAAACACGTGTCCCGATTTACAGTAGAGATCAAATGCAAGCGCGGAGCACCAATGCCGGTTTTTAACTGTCGTGACATTTCTCGTTTAGAAGGATAGTGATTGTGTTCGTTTTTAGAGTAAAAATATGTCAATCAGAAAAGGTTTTCTTGAACTGAATTGTTAATGGTTGGTTTTGTGAGATGTAAAGCGTACATGCATTTAAAACGAATTTAAAATGATTCAGATATTTATCCCTGAGTAATATCTCAAAAATTGTAACTCTTGTAGTAGTGAATGTTATCACAGTACCCGTAGTTGGGGCATTAGTAGAAGTTGCAGCAGATGCAGTTTCGGAAGCGTCCCTAATCAAAATTATTAAATATTATTAGAATTTATGTATGATTTGCTAATACCGTTTAAATAGTAGAGACAAAAGCATCCTTATAATGACAATCATAAATATTGCATTAAACCGAAAAAAATTATTTCAAAACGACAAGAATACTCTAAAATCAGAGCCCACATGCGACTATTTGAGGAGCGGCACTAGTCCTAAACACATGCAAAGGCAAATCAATGATTTCCCCAAAAAAGGCAGAATCAATATCAGACATACACCAAGTGTTCTCAAATCACTTACCACAGTCATCGAAACCGAAGAAGTCATCATCATCACTAAGCAAATGCCTCAAAAAATCCATGATCGGTATATCGTCCACCTTCGACTCCAGTTGTTCGTGGATGAAGCTAGTCTGTTACTAGTATGTAAGCTTCAATAACACACCGCGATGCCACGGCCCGCCGTCATCCTCCAGTGATCTGGCTTACAATATGCTGAGTGCGC